TCCTGCTGATTTTGCAAACTAACCGAGTGTTCAAGCACTCTACAACTGTCAGTGAACTCTGTTCAAAATTACTTGAATCTTGGACAGTTAATTGAACAATCACAGAAAAGTTTACTTTTTAATAGAGGTTAATAGTTGATACTGGCCTTCTTATCTTGCTCTATGAGATGTAACTGGATCATTTGCACTTGTGTTGACTGGATAATTTAACACTTGTATTAATTATCTCATGTTTAGTTAAGAACGAACTACTTATCTAGATTATAATCACATGGATTGTGATACAACAGATTTAGAAAAAGATAAGATTGATATTTTTCTATAAACATGCACCATTGCAATAAGGAAATCAGATTTCTCTGAATGGAAGAAGAGTAAGTTAGATTTCTGGGTGTGTAACTTGGGCTTATGATAACCCCTAAAAACTGTGAGACAAAAAAACTGAAACCGGGTTTGCTTTTTATATTATTACTTGCTATAATATGATTAAGCAATGCTTGGAACTCTGATGATTTTAGTATTTATTTTTACCGTAATTGTAGGGTTAATTTTTACATGCTTGTGTTTCCTGCTGTCTTGCATAATGAAGAGATAAAATGTCTCTATAGGTTTTCGGTCTGGCTTGCTCATTCCTTACTTAACAGATTTAAAGGTTGGTAATCATCCTTTAACAGATAAATCCTGGAGAACTCAGGCACTAAACAGTTTGCATAGGCAAAGATTTTTGAAATTGTTTAGTCCAGATTCTCTAATTGGATGTGGGAGCGGAACTTCTTGTTACACTAACTTACCCAGCCACTTAGTGGCTGACACAATACACTGTAAGTTCATTGACCTTGACAGAATAATGGCATTTTGTGTGTGCCCACAGTGCAGCATGTTTGTATGGTTGAGTAAGCCTGTATAATATCCCCCGTAGATTTGTTTACATGCATAAGAGATAGAGAAGAAGTTAGTAACAGTGGGCCTGTATAATCAGGAATTATTTCATTCTTCTTTGTGGTGTCTGTGCAGCCCCACTTATGGATTGTGTGCTGGAACAACTTTGAACAATTGTAGAGCTTTAGGACAAAAATTGGCTCTCAAATCCCTCCTGCAAAGAGAAATACCATCCCTCTACTCTGAAATCTTAAACTAATCAACTGGATAACATTCTAAAGCAACTGATGATATATAAACCTATGAAACATACAGAGTCAGACTTCTGATCCATTCAGCAAGGTATTGTCTTCTCTGACTGGCAAAGCCCTTGCAAGAATTCAGGCAGAGACATGTCTCACCCAGCCCTGATATTTGAGATCCTTTATCTGGAGAAGATGGGGATCCAACCTGTGCTCAGCCACTATACCCCATATTTTCAGAAGTACCACCTTTTTCCCTTCCTGGTCGAGGTGGGGCTTGAGCAGTAGACCTGCCGTTTTTCAGAGAGTACAGGACACATGGAGTCACCAGAACCCAACACATATGAAATGCAAAACTATTCATTGATAACGTTTAATGTAAAATTTCCATTGAAAAGCCACAGCTAGTCTCCCTGAGCACAACTCCCCAGATACCTGACCTTAACATTTGAGATCTTTAGTAAGAGATCAAGCTGCCAACTTTATGTCGTATCTGGTCTAGAATGTTTCAGACTTTTATACCGTGATGCTACATAGGCTTGCAGTCAAGTTCCATGGGTTTTCATAGGTTCTACTTGCAAGTCAGGATGGGCAATTAAGAAAACATCCGTTGTGTATTAATAGGGCAAGAGTATGCCCAAAGGGAGCAATCAATACTTTAGGTGCATCTTTTGGATCTAAACTCTGCTCTCACTCAGTGAGGCACATGCAGTTGTGAAGCTGTTTTATTAACTCTCAGCAAAATTGTCATCCCTGAACTAGCATTTGTTTAGCGTGAGAATATTCATAATGAGAAGAAGCAGTGAACAACTTTTACCTTTCTGTGTTGGTAGGCAAGGATGATGAATGTGAGGAGTCTGCTAACTTGGGATCTGTTCCAGAAACTTTGTCAGATTCACAACATCTAACAAAATCTGAGACGTGTCTGTCCTCTACGCCAGTATCAGGCTCTCCAAACCACGAAGACTTTAGAACAATGTCTCCTGAACAGGTATTTCTTTGCCGTTTAATTTGTGCCATAGCTATATTTGTGGAGATTAACTTGGTCTGTGGGGGAAGCAGGCCAGTGTGAAGCTTAATTTTGCTTTCATGAATATCGATCCCCTTGGGTCTTTTTGCTGTATTTTATGGTTTGAGATAAAAATAATTTGGACTGGATTATTTGTATTGTCAGATTTAAGGTCATTGGAAGCATAGCACCTTCCCCAAGTCCAAGAAATCATGGGAGGGTGTGACGGAGCAGCCAGAACTGGCAGCTGGTGGCATCATGGAAATGTTCCTTCCTTCCTCTCATGCATAAAGGGGAATGCCTGTCCAAAGATGGTGCCTGATCTTTGTTTATATTTTTAACTGTCTGTAAGCCCCCTCCACTACCTTTGGTGCAGAAAGCCAGTTCGAAGTTATTTTTTAAATAATTACTTTAAAACTAACAGTAGAAAAATAAGCAATGGCTGGATAAAGAAATATGTTGTTAGCTGGCTCCAGAAACCTAGCACAGAATACATGTGGGGAGGATGTTCCAGAGTAAGGGTGCCACTGCAGGAAACACCCTGCCTCACATGGTCACCCACCTTATTTCTGGCGGTGTACAGCATAGGACTTCAGGAGATGACTACAGTAATTAGGTAGGTGCATACAGGAGCAGACATTCTTTTAAGTACCCTTGTCAAAGCCTGCCCCATATATTGAAGTAGTCTACCTTGATAGCTATTGCCAAATCACCCTTGTCAAGAAACAGAAGAGTGGTAGCTGGCTGACCAACTGAAACTGGCCAAAAGTTCCAATGTGCCATGGAGTGGATCTGAGCCTTCAGTGTAAACACAGGTCCAGTAACACTCCCAACTTGTGAACCTGTCCTTCCAAAGGGAGCAAAGCCTTTCTGTTCCTGACTCTGTATAGAACCACCCAACAGCATCCCCATCTTGTTTGGACTGTGCTTCAGTTTATTTGGCCCTCATCCAGCCCAGTACCACTGCCAAGCAGCTGTTTAGGCCACCCACTGTATCACCTGATGCTGCTGAAAAAGTGGTATATAACAACTGTGTATTATCAGCATAGTGATGACATAACTCTTTAGATTCCATTTCCCAGTGGCTTCATATCTATATATCTAATTCTCAACAGTCCCCTCTGTGCAGATACTTATTTCCACTGATGGGGGCACACTGTCCCCTAACAGGTTTTTCTACAGACTCAAGAGACACTGTGAGTCTCTGCAGAAAATCCAAAAAGTTTTAAAAAGACAACTAGGGAGGGTTGTGTTTCCCCCAATACCTTTTGAAATGGCCACCACAGGGATCTACTCCAGGCCTTGCTGCATCGACAGTAAGAGGCTGATAGCACGGGGGGGATCAAAAAGCAGAACTGGATCTGGGATTGGGGAGGATTCCTCCTACAGAATTAATGCCTAAATAGCAGGGGGGTTGGAGCCAGGCCTGGGACTGGGATTGCCCACTCCTGGTTGGGAAATTCCTGGGGATTCTGTGGTCAAGTCTGAGGAGTACAGAGTTTGGGGAGAAGAGAGGCCTCAGTTGGATATAATGCCACAGAGTCCACCCATTTTCTCCAGGAGGACAGATCTCTGTTGTCTGGAGTTCAGTTGTAATTCTGGGGGATCTCCAGGTCCCACCTGGAGGTTGGCAAACCCAGGCCTAGCAGCACCATCTGGGTGACTTGAGACCACCTGACTTGCACAATTCTGTTAGGCCTGGCTGCTTGCTACTGTTCAACAACAGCCACGCTATGAAAGCCAGTGTAGTATAATGGTCAGAGCTTTAGAGTAGAGTTTGTGAGACCCAGGTTTAGATTTCCATCTTGCTGTGGAAGCCCACTGGGTGATTTTGGACCAGTCACATACTTCTAGCCTAACCTACCTGATAGGGCTGTTGTGTGGATAAAAAGGAGATAATCATGTAAACTGCTTTAGTCCCCAGTGTAGAGAAAGACAGTTTTCCTCAGTAGAAGCTGCAGGGGGAAAGGAGATGAAAAGCTGAAGACAGGGGTGGGTAAAGGTAGGTTGTCGGGTGGGAAGGAGATAGGAATGTCAACTCCAGGTTGGGAAATTCCTGGATATTTGAGGGGAGGAGCCTGGGGATGGTGAGGATTGAGGCGGGGAGGGACTTCAGACAGATATAATGCCATAGACTCCACCCTCCAAAGCAGTCATTTCCTCCAGGGGAACTAATGTTGGCAACCTTGCCCTTTGTGGCTGGTGAAATCTCTGGTGATGAGGTGCGGACCCCTCTGAGGGAGATGATCAGTGTGTCCCTATGAATGGGAATCTTCCCGGAGGGATTGAAGGAGGCTGCGGTCTGTCCTCTCCTAAAAAAAAGGTCCTGACAAACTGCCCAGTGTCTAATCTACCATTTCTGGGTAAGGTAGTGGAGAAGGCAGTGGCAACACAGCTCCAGGCTTTCCTGGAGGATGCTAATATACTGTATCCCTTCCAATCTGGTTTTCGCCCTGCCCATGGGATGGAGACGGTTTTGGTCACCTTGGTGGATGACCTCCGGAGACACCTGAATTGAGGCGGATCGGCACTGCTGATACTTCTTGATTTGTCGGCAGTGTTTGATAAGGTTGACTATGATCTGTTGACCCACTGCCTCGCTGATGTGGGGATAAGGCGGCCTGCCTTGCAGTGGCTGACCTCATTTCTCCAAGGTCGGGGACAGAGGGTGGTGGTAGGGGGGGGGAGAGTTATCTCAGCAACATCTGCTGGAATGTGGCATGCTGCAGGGGTCAGTTCTCTCCCCGGTGCTGGTTAATATCTACATGCACCCCCTTGCCCAGATTATCCAATATGCTGATGATACCCAGTTCTGTTTACTGATGGATGGCCATCTGGACTCTGCCCACAGCTGGATGGTTACAACAAAGCAGGCTGAAATTGAATCCATTGAAGATGGAGGTCCTGTACCTGGGTCGCGGGGGATTGGGCTCCCAACCTTTGATGGGGCCCTACTGGTGCTGATGTCAAAGGTGAAGAGCCTGGGGGTGTCCCTGGGTGCCTCGCTAACTATGGAGGCCCAGGTAACCACCACTGCCAGGTCTGCCTCTTTCCATCTGAGACAGATAAGGCAGTTGGCCCCATATCTCAACCCTTGGGACCTGGCTACAGAGACCCATGCAATGGTCACTTCCAGATCGGACTATTGTAATTCTCTCTACTTGGGGCTACTCTTGTTTCTGCTCTGGAAGCTGCAGCTGGTACAGAACACAGCTGTATGGGTGTTGACTTTGTTGTTTGTGCGGATGCGGATCCACCCAGTGCTGTGCGAACTGCACTGGCTGCCTATTGAGTACTGGATCTGTTTCAAGATGTTGGGGCTCACCTTTAAAACCCTATATGGCCAGGGCCTGCATATCTGTGAGACTGCCTTTATCTATATGAGCCCCGAAGGGCTTTACAATCTGCCAACCAACATCTTATAGTGGTCCCCAGCCCCAGGGATGTCCATCCTGCCTTTTCAGCCCTGGCTCCTACCTGGTGGAATGAGCTCCCATATGAGATCAGGGCCCTGTGGGACCTTTTACAGATCTGCAGGGCCTGCAAGACAGAGCTTTTCCAGCAGGCTTTTAGTTAGGGTGGCAGGCGTCTCCCCCTCTCTATAGGGCCTCCCCTCAGCGGATCAGATCTGTATTATCTAAGGACCCAAACTCGAAATAGACTGCATCTGTGAGGCTTTTACCATGATTTGTACCACAGGAATGTTGTTGCATTTTACTGCGGTTTTTAAATTGTTTTTAATTCTTTGTATATTGGTTATTGTGTCTGATGGAACTCGCCCCTGAGCCTGCTATATGGGGAGGGTGGGATAAAAGTCCAATAAAATAAATAAATACATAAAGTCTCCAGGTGAAGGCTGAAGATCTCTTGGAATTGCAACTGATCTCCAGATGACAGAGATCAGCTCCCCTAGAGAAAATGGCTGCTTTTAAGGGTGGAGTTTATAGTATTATACCCTGCTGAGATCACTTCCAAGCTCAAACCTCATCTTCCAAGGCTCTACCACCAAATCTCCAGGAATTTCCCAACATGGAGCTGGCAACCCTCAGAGGAACTGATCTCTGTATGTGGGCAATCCATTGTGTTTCCTGGAGAGCGGCTGCTGCCACTGCTGCTGTGGGACGGGGGAGGAAGTAGGTGGGAGGCTGGGAGAGTGACAGGGGCAGAAAGAGTGATGGGGTGGGGGCAGAAATGAAGTTATAGGCTTTAAGGGGGGAGAGAGTAAGAAAAGGGGTGGCAGGAAGGAGAAAGGGTGTGAGAGAAGTAGAGAAAGAGGGGGAGAAACAGAGGTGGGGGAATGGGTTAGCCACTCCCGCAAGTTTCTTGCAGGTCCCCACTTGTGTTATATTCTAACTAGAAATAAGGCCCGTTGTGGAAATAAATACAACAGGATCTAGAAAGAGGCTCTGGGAGAGTGCTCTGGCTTTGGGCAAACAGTGTCAGTCTGCTTTTAACGGGCTTTGCCTTCTGATTGGTGGCGATATATGCTGAGGAGCAGTGCCATCAGCCATACACTAAGGGAGTGCATTTTAGAATTAGAACTTTGGCACCCACTATTCAATTATATATAAGGAGAGATAGTGAAGTTAGGATAACTTTGGATACTTAAATCCAGTGACTGCAGCTGTGAATGGGCAAGACAGATCTTTCTACAAACCTGAAAAGGGGCCCAGGTTTGTAGAAAAATGTGAAATCGGAAAAAAATAAAATAAAATACACTGGACAACTTAAAAAATCCAAAAATGATAAAAGGATTGCCTGTAGCTTTAAGCAACAAATTCCCTCAGTGACTGTTGCTAGGCAACCATAGCATTCCAAGCTTGGCTCTATCAGTAAAAGGCAAGGGAGGGGAGAACTCATTAGGAAGAACTTGCTGACAGTAAGAGTGGTTCCTTAGTGGAACAGGCTTCCTCAAGAGGTGGTGGGCTCTCCTTCTTTGGAGGTTTTCAGACAGAGGCTAGATGGCCATCTGACAGCAATGCTGATTCTGTGAACTTAGGCAGATCATGTGAGGGAGGACATGAAGGGTTGCCTCAGTGCTTAGTTGTTGTGGCCCTTTCTTACATGCCCAGGGAAATGCTGATATCTCCTGGAGGTTTTTTGTCATCTTCTCGGTGTGGAACAGCGGTCACTGAGGGTGTGGGGGGGAGGTATTTGTGCAGGGAGTTGGACTAGATGACCTTGGATGTCCATTCCAACTCTATGATTCATTGGGGCCAGGCCTGCCTAGGGTTGCCAGCTCCAGGTTGGGAAATTCTTGGAGATTTTGTTAGGAAGTCTGAGAAGTTTAGGGTTTGGGGAAGGGAGAGGCTTCAGCCTGGTGTAATGCCACAGAGTTCACTCTCCATAGCAGCCATTTTCTCCAAGGGGACAAATGTCTGGAGTTCAGTTGTAATTGTAGGGGATCTCCAGGTCCCACCTGAACGTTGGCAACTCTAGGCATGGCCATAACCTCTGGGTGACTTGATGCCACCTGACTTGCATGACTCAAGTAGGACTGGCTGCTTGCTATTGACCAACAACAGTCACCCTATGAAAGCCTGTGTGGTATATTATATAGAAAGGTGTCAGCCTCTTGATACAGCTTAGCTTCTTTTTTACTTTCTTCAAAATTTTACAGTTTATCTTCTTTAAAGGGAGAGAAAGGGGGAAGATTGTTAGAGAAGAGTGAAAAGGGAAGGAAGCAAAGGGAAGAGGGTTACATGCTCTCTGCAAGTTTCTTGCAGGTCCCAACTTGTAGATGTTGACAGCCTAAATTCTTCCCATGAGTATTAAGTGTAAGTTACATGAGCATACTAGATGATGTTACCTGAAGGCACTACGCTTCAGACTTAAAACTGTTGAACTTTACTATACCGTGCTCTTGCATTTAGCCAATTAATGTACAATTTGCTACCTTCAAGTGGGAATGATATGTCTGTTTCCTGTAGAATTCGTTTCAGGTCCACACCAGTGTCTTGCAAGTTTCCATCCCTTCTTTCTCACCAACCTCCAGATGCTCAGAAGCATCAACTGAAAACGTGAAAGCCCAATCTAGGATGGCAGTTGCAAATGAAATCAGGTATGAATACTTTGAATGGCTTTTATTAGATAGTAAAAATGTCTTGATTGATGGGTTTTACTTTTATAGTTCACCTTTCTTGCTGAGACTCAAGGTGGGTTACAGTTAAAATAATGAGGTAAGAAACAGTACAATGCATAGATCCAACAAAATAATAGTACTGTTATCCACTCTGAGCCCTGTTGTACTGGGGTGGGCGGGTTGTAAATCTAATATATAAATGAATAAAATAATAATACAGGCAAGAAGGCAGCTTTGCAAGATTGGAGAACGGATGCTGTTAAACATTCTGCGATGTACAACAAAAACTCAGTATGGAGCTGTTGTATTAAGAAGGGTTTTTAAGAAGGAGAGAGAGACAAAAAAACTTCCAATATCACAATGCTTTAATGTTCATCATTGTTGCAGTATTTTGAATACTGTGTAGAATTCCTGTTGCCCCTGATGGGTGCAGTTCTGTGACTCCTTTTCTCTTGGAACTTCAGTTAGGATGCTGATGTGGAGATTGGCTGGATCTTGTTGTCCCAGGTCTGCCTCTATCCCTGTCAAGGTAGTGAATCCTTGCTCCGCTGTAGTCAGTGTAGATCTTTCCCTGGAAGGGCCCTCATCCTCTTTTCTTCTGTTTCTGCCTTCTCCCTTGCTACTCATGGCCCTTTCATTTTATGGCTGCCTTTAAAAAAAAGGAAAGGAATTATCTGAACTCTGCTCGGAATCCCTTGTAGGAATAAAACAATGAGGTGCTTCCCTGTGCCTGTTATTATTAGTGTTTAAAAGTTCCCAAATATGTTGCGTATAAGCAGGATTCCCATAAATTCCCTTCAGATTTTGCTGTAGACAAAATGTGGTGTCATATGGTACTTCATGCAAACCAGTCTACAACAAATTGTTTAATCTTGTTAAAATTCTTTTTTACCTTCCTCAAAATCCCTAGAGAGGTTTTGCCTGAGTTGACCTCCAATTGAAAACAAAATATTATAATTCCTATTTATAAAAAGGCAGCAGGCAAGACCCTGCTAATTATTGCCCTGTCAGTCTTTTGGATAGATCCAGTTGGTCAGCTGTGTTGGTCTGAAGCGGCAGAACAAATTTAGAGTCCAATGACACCTTTAAGACCAACAGAGGTTTATTCAAGGTATGAGCTTTTGAGTGCACGCACACTTTATCAAATACTTTTGGATATTTCCTCTAAATTATATACATGCCATTTTTTAGTCAAATTGGAACATTGGGCAGAATCATCAAACTTTTCAATCCTGAATCAAGTCGGTTTCCATAAGGGTCATAGTACAGCACAGATGGACTATTAATGCTCATGAAATAGAACAGCGCCCCTTCTTTAAATGTCTAGGCATAGTAATTCATAGGTCTCTGTCTTGGCAGGGACATCTTAATGCTATTTTATCAACTGTCTGCTGTACATTAGGTGCTATTTTAAATTTTTTCTTTTCAAAGAGTGGCCAGCTAATAGCCCCAGCCCTTAGAGCTCCAGGGCAAAGCTATCATGCAGCTTCTGTATGGGGCTGAAATATGTGGGTGGAACGAGAAAATACTTGACCAGCTTGAAATCATTCGGAACAACTTCTTAAGAAAAATCTTGGGTCTCCCTCAGGGGACTCCTGCTACACACTTAAGGTTAGAAGTTGGACTACCCTCTATTACAATAAGAGTCCACTTGGAACTATTAAAATATTATAAGAAACTTGACAGTATTTCTGAAGACCATTTGGCAAAATATTGTTTTTGGTACAACAAGGAAGGGAATCAGATGTCATAGTCATAGTCCCGCTGTACAATGCATTGGTCAGGCCTCACCTGGAGTATTGTGTGCAGTTCTGAAGGCCTCATTTCAAAAAGGATGTGGACAGAATGGAGTGGGTGCAGAGGAGAGTGATGAAAATGATCAGGGGCCTGGAGACCAAGCCGTACGAGGAAAGGCTGATGGACTTGGGAATGTTCCATCTGTAGAAGAGGAGGTTGACGGGGGACATGATTGCTCTCTTGAAGTATTTGAAGGGCTGTCACTTAAAGGAGGGCAGGGAGCTATTCCTGTAGGCAGCAGAGGATAGGACTCTGTCCATCAGTGGCTATTAGCCACAAGGTATAGATAGGGACTCTGGGGCAAGTGATGCTCTGTCTTCTTGGTGCTTGGGGGGGTCAACAGTGGGAGGGCTTCTAATGTCCTGGCTCCACTGGTGGACCTCCTGATGGCACTGGTATTTCTGGCCACTGTGTGATACAGAGTGTTGGACTGAATGGGCCTTTGGCCTGATCCAACATTGGTGTCTCTTATGTTCTTATGTCTCACAATAATGGGTTTAAATTAAGGGCGGGAGGGTACTGGCTGAATATTAGGTACAATTTTTTTACAACAGTGGAACAGTGCACCAGTGGAATCAGCTGCCTAGGAAGGTGGTGAGCTCCTCCTCACTGGCAGTCTTTAAGCAGCGGCTGGATAAACACTTGTTAGGGATGCTGTAGGCTAATCCTGCATTGAGCAGGGGGTTGGACGAGATGGCTTATATGGCCCCTTCCAACTCTGTGATTCTGTTATTCTATTCTATGATTCTAATTTGCTGTCCCCTGTTCTGCAGATCTTTGTTGTTGTGTCTGTGCATCACACCTGTGGGATCAAGGTGCCTGCACCAGCTCCAACCAGTAAACGTACAAGCTCAGCAAAAGGATTTTCATGCCCTTCCCCTGTGTCATGAGTGAGAACTCCCACTGTGCATGCCCACAGGGGCAGGGACCAGACATCCTGCCAGTTCTCTTCTGACTGTTGTGCTGATCGGATGATCTTCACGGTTCGGTTGGTGAACTTACCTCAAACCTCCTTACAAAACTCCTCTTCTGGATCTCAGGTTTTACTCAGCCTCTTTATTGTTCTTCGTCTTCATCTTCTAAAAAAAAAAAAAAAGACTTTAATTCTGGACTTTATTTCGCCCCCCCCTCCTCTCCCCTCCCTCAACTTGGTCTATAGAAAAGCTGTGGGGTTTTTTCAAGAGGTGCACTCAGTGTGGGATGTCTGCTCCCCGCCCCTGTGGGTATGTGCAGTGGGAGTTCCCGTACATGACACAGGGGAAGGACGTGAAAATCCTTCTGCTGAGCTTGTAAATTTACTGGTTGGAGCCACCACAGGTGCCTTAATCTCACAGGTATGAATCCACTGATGACAAGATCATCAATTACTGGTAAGCAACCTTTTTTTTTTAATATGCTTTGCCCTCTTTAGAGGCTGTAAAGCTTTAGGACGCAATCAAAATTCGTAATTGGTTTTTTTTGAAAAAGATGCCGTTCATGATACTGGTTTGGCCTAAGAATCCAAATTTTCTCTGTGGTATCCTTGGATTGAGAAAATCAAATTCTTCTCTTGTTACTTATCTGAACTTTCTTATGTTACATTAAGAAAGGGTTACTAGTGCATGTTTTCAAACGATGCCTTCTGAGTATTTACAGGGCAGATTAAAAAAAATGTGTGGAATGTGGTTTTAATCAGTTGGAAGATATTGCACAGTATGTTCTACATTGGTCATTCTGTGGATCCGTCCAAACAAACTGCTGAATCAATTTCTTGTAAATTTTTCCAGCTCAGATGAGGCATGTATTAATTTTATATTGACTGATGCTATCCCTTTTGTTACCCTCAAAGTGGCTACTTTTATCTTGTTATAATAATAATAAATATAAGGAAGAAATTGGTATCTGCTAATTCTGCAAGTCCTGCCAACCTAGCAGTTCGAAAGCAAGAAATTGCAAGTAGATAAATAGGTACCACTTCGGTGGGAAGGTAACAGTGTTCCGTGCGCCTTGGTGTTTAGTCATGCCGGCCACATGACCACGGAAATGTCTTCGGACAGTGCTGGCTCTTCGGCTTTGAAACGGAGATGAGCACCGCAACCCTAGAGTCGGATTCGACTGGCTTTCAAGCAAGGGAACCTTTACCTTTAATTCTGCAAGACTTTTAGTGAATTTGTAAATTCATGTTATCTTATGGAATTTTTTTTGGCATTTATTTCTTACCATCTTAGTTTTAAACTTTGAACTTTTATCCTTAGAAAAGAGCAAGAGGCCAGTAGTCCCTTAAAGACTAGCAAAGTATGTGGCAGGGTATGAGTTTTTGTGACTTACTGCTCCCTTCTTCAGATACTGTTATCCTGTTATGTACAAATGTCTTAGCCCTTCTGTTGTGGAGGGTTCACTGTTATATGTTGGTGTATATGCTGGGATGTTATGGCCTATGGCTAAAACAATAACAATAAACTTCACTTGCTGAATTGGGCCCTGCAACTTCTCTCAAATTTTACTTTAGATAAAATCTGGTGGCAGTTCTTATAGAGCTGCCAGTTCCTTCTCTAAAACAGATTTTATGTCAAGGCATTTTTGTTGGATGTTTTCCATTTTAATACACTGTATATTCTTCCTTTTGGTTAAGTGTGCAGACTCTAATCTGGGAGAACCGGGTTTGATTCCCCACTCCTCCACTTGCAGCTGCTGGATGACCTTGGGCAAGCCATAGTTCTGACAAGACCTGTCCTTGAAAGGGCAGTTCTTGAAAGAGCTCTCTCAGCCTCACCTACCTCACAGGGTGTCTGTTGTGGGGAGGGGAAGGGAAACGAGTTTGTAAGCCGTTCTGAGACTCCAAGTGAAGGGCGGAGTATAAATCCAGTCTCCTCTCCTCCTTTTTATAGTGAAAGGAAAACACCATTGGCTTCCATTGAAAATGACACAAAATTCCAGCTAGGTGGCACAAAACTGTAAGTAGCATATAATGGAACAATTTAAAAAAAACGCAATTGTGTATTTTACTAAAATATTTTGTTTCATAGTTGCATTAAATCAGTACCTTCTTTCTTCCCTTTAGTCCTCTTTGTATCGATATAGCCTACTTTTTCATTTTTATTGCAGTATGAAGCATCTTCAATCAAGTTATATAGCTCCAGGGATATACAGATTTTTGTAATATATTTCCAAATTATTTGTGGCTGAATATTGTGCAAAAGGGGGTACTGGCTGGCTTAGCAGATTTCTAATTTCTGCCCAAAATATTAATCACTACAATGACATTGGTCATTATTCACATGCTTAAGTAAATGATGTAATTTAAGTGCTTTGCTGAATTTGTGGTGTGTGCATAACAACTTCTAATATGATAGTTATTCTACAGTGAGTACAATTTACTTATGTTCCTATTAATCTAGCATGTTAACTGTAGAATTGCCTAGCCAAGAACTGCCTATATCTATGACATTAAAAAAAAATTAAAAAATTTCCTTGTGATTCGGGGTTGCTTTAGTGGCACCACCTAAGTAAGAGTTTATTAAAACAATTGTTAATAATCCTGAAGTGCCTTTCAGTGGTAGGGCTGCTTGAGGAAGCAACAAAGTCTGCCGTCTTTGTGGCTCATCCTGGAAGACCTCTGAGTGGGTTACTGAGGATTCATTAGTGCCTGCAGTAGAGGCACTGGAGTACTGAGAAGGTGGAAGAAAGATGGCTATATACTTCATTTACCAGGAGTATAATTCAGATCTCCTGCCAAGCCATGCTTAAGGGAGAATGATGGGAATGCATCTCTGAGAGGAGGAACTGGAAAGAAAGCCAGTCTGGTGTAGTGGTTAAGTGCACGGACTCTAATCTGGGAGAACCGGGTTTGATTCCCCACTCCTCCACTTGCACCTGGCTGGATGGCCTTGGGCAAGCCATAGCTCTGATAAGAGATGTTCTTGAAAAAGAACAGTTTCTGTCAGAGCTCTCTCAGCCCCACCTACCTCACAGGGTATCTGTTGTGGGGAGGGGAAGGGAAAGGAGTTTGTAAGCCGCTCTGAGACACCTTTGGGTAGTGAAGGGCGGGGTATAAATCCAATCTCTTCTTCTTCTTCTTCTTGCTTATTCATAGAAGCCCAGGAGCGCTGCTGAGATCACACTTGACAATCAGGAGCTGTAGCTGTTTGGCAATTCCAGAACCCCCCCAAAAGGGAATGCAAAAGTCCAAAGCCTTTTGGGAGGAAAGATTCCCCCCACAAAAAAATCAAGAGAGGAAGTTGTTGTCTGTTGAGAGTAGGAGGAGAAGGAGCATGTGCTTCTCCTTTCCTTTCCTTCTGTACTCCAGGGTTTTGCTCAAAGGTAAAGAATTTTGATGGAGCACCTTCAAAACAACTACTCTGGTGTAGAAAGGGACTGAATTGTTAGAATGAGAATCTTTAGGGATTCAGTCATCCCTACTCATTAGTTAGCAGGAGCAAAAGTGGATGATGCTTGTCCCTATGCTGCAGCAGTCATGCAGATCAGCTGCTATAATGGAAGGCATCTCTAATCAAGAACACAGTCAGCTGTTTTGACCAAGATCACTGCCTGGAATGGCCTGTGTCTTTAATGGCTGGCTTTAGAAAACTCCCTTTGGGTAACCTGGCTAGACACTACGTGAAGCTCCTGTGAGGGATAGGGTTCCTGTCTCTCCTGTCCTGCTGCCTTTTGAAGTTATCACTTCAGGTGCTATTATTTTATTACTTCTCTGTTTTTTAATAACTTTTGGCTGTAGGCTGACCTTGATATCCAGAGGTAAAAGCCAAAGAATTCAGTGAATCATTCACATTTATAGAAATCTTATCTAACATTTTTAAAAGTAATAATATTTCATTATAATTCTCTAAAAAACATGTTTGATTGTTTCATGGGATCAGTTAATGAATTTGGCTTTGTAAAGTATTATACGTACTAGAAATAATGCCCGTTGCGGAAATAAATACAACGGGATCTAGAAAGAGGCTCTGGGAGAGTGCTCTGGCTTTGGGCAAACAGTGTCAGTTTCCTGTGGCGACCTCAGCAGGGTTTAATGACAGAGTCCACTGTTTTCTCCAGAGGGACTGATCTCTGCTACCTGAAGAGCATTTGTATGTTTGAGTTATCTGTAGCCCTCACCTGGAGAGTGGTAACCATTGTTACCCATTCTCCTCTCCCCTATGAGGTATGTTATGCAACTGAAAATTCCAACTGCCTTGCGGGGGGGGGGGAGTTTGAGGTGTGGAATGGACTGAAGTCCAATCAGCTTCCATATGCAAAAGACCAGGTTGTCGCAGCAGTTGTGGTGTGGGCGGGACCCGGGCTTTGCCTTCTGATTGGTGGCGATATATGCTGAGGAGCAGTGCCATCAGCCATACACTAAGGGAGTGCATTTTAGAATTAGAACTTTGGCACCCACTATTCAATTATATATAAGGAGAGATTGGTCCTGTTGATGATTAAACTATTTTTTATGATACAGTTAATACTTTATAAGTACTTCAGCATTATTTGACAGGTTTTCACTGATCAATTTTCCAGATCTTCATTGAGAAGTCAAATACCTAAAATGGTGTCAATCTTTCCAAAATATCCCCAACAGTATTAATGCAGATGTTGATATATAGAAAAAGTCCCTAAGATGTAATTCAGTTGCTCAAAAGGGACATAAATATCATGACACTGGGGAGAAAGGAAACTAAACTTCCTAAATGAAACATTTCTTAACTACACATAGTCATTACATTTCACTTGCATTTCTGAAGCAGTTTGGTTTGCTTTTTATATGTCTGCCACTAATTTATAAACTATGGGTTTTAAAATAAATTTGAAAGTAAATGCAGAAATCTAAAGTGTGGCTGTTGAATGCATGGCTGAAACACTGAAGAGATGCTGTTTCTGTGCCTATCCTTTAAATGTTGGGAAATGGCATGTTCTTGAGTCTCTTGGGCGTGCAATAGCAAGCATGTCATTTGAAAGAGGGAATAGTTTCTGAGTTGGCTAGTCTGATGGACTGCACTATTAAAAGCTTACAAGTGCTGTACAAACAGGTAAAGGACTGTGAAAGGTTAATTCTTCATGGAGCCAGAGAGCCTTGAGTGACAGGCTGTTCCAAGAGATCTGATTGGTTAGCGTCAGCCAAGCAGAGAAAGACTTCTGAACTGGGTGCTGAGGAAAATCCAGTCTGATTTCAGCCCTAGCTGAGAAGTGTTGAGTATTGACAGTTTTGGAATTCAACCCTGATGAAGAACAGTTTAACACAGACAGGAGAACTGGGGAAAGTTGGCAAGGATGAGTGGGTAGTTAGATGGAGACTCCCATTTGGGCCAAAGAAAGGGGGTAGATCTTCTAGTGAGAAGAGAATTTCCCTACCCAGTCAAATAGGGAGTTAGCTCTGAAGAGTGAAGAGATCACTGGTCTAGTGTGATTAGAAACAGCCTTTAAAGGCCTTAAGAGTCAGTTAAAAACTCAAGACGAGTACTGGTGTTTCAAGAGAAGGGGTTTGGGTACTGGAAAGAGT